CACTGAGACCACACAATTCCACCTTTGTTGCCAATTAACGCTTCCCCCCTTAATTGCTCCAGTCCCTTTGGCACCCAAGTTACCACTAACATTACAGAGGCCAACACCCCCCTACCAAACTTACCTGGGATCAGTGCGGGTTTTTTCTTGAATACATAAGCTCAAACCTTCATTTCCTCTACCACCTTTCGTTCGGAAAGCAGTTCCACATCGGGACAAACGCATTTGTCTCAGCAACGTCAGAATACTACAAATTTATCAACAGGTTTCCCTGCATTTGCAATGCCAATAGGATCAAATCTGCCAAGAGTGGCATCCAGCTATTATAGCAACCACAATTTGGAGCAATTTGTCAACCAGTCCTATGTATACAACCCTATCTGGACATCAACCCACAGTCCCGTTGATTAATACAAGACCTTCCCACCAAGATTCCACCATTCGGCTAAAAAGGATGGCCCTACCCACATTCTCCGGACTTAGGAAAACTGGCCAGAGTTCAAGGCAGTCTGGAAGTCGATGGCTGAGTCTGCAAGTTATAATAAAACTGCATTAGCACACGAACTGAAGAACTCAGTTAAAGGAGAAGCCAAACACCGCATCAAATCTGTTTTTGTTACCAAGCCCGAAGCTTACGACATCATGTGGGAAAAGCTAGAGTGTCACTATGGAGATACTACTGCCAGTGTACAAGCTGCTTTGGAAGATCTTCAAAGGCTAAAACCTGTAAAAGAAGAAGATTATAAAGCTCTGGTTGAATTGGTGGATGAAGTTGAATCTGCCTACAGTCAATTGGAAGAGCTCAACCAGCTAAACACTTTAACCATGCGAGATGTAGACAACCTAACTGTGATTACTTCGGTGTCCATCCAAAGCAAGAAGAAGCTAGATGTGGTGACAACCTAAGTATCATGAATGGAGCATTGGGGATTTGCCTCCAAGGCGCCCATTCAGATCTGATCGAAGAAACAAGATATGACACCAATCTCGCAAAGAAAATAAACGATGTTAACGTGAAAGTGGAAACATACAAGACGACTGCCCTACTGTTGGACACACTTACTCTTTCAAGGAAGAACAGGAATTAAAACTGATTCAAGAAAACCTCGAGTACGACGAAGTTAACCAATGCTGGATAACCAGTTCCCCTGGCTCGTAGATTCACAAAGTTTACCCGACAATTATCACACTGCACTTGCTACGTTAGAAAGAACTGAAAGAATGCTTAAGAAAGATGACCAATCGGCTAAGATGTACAAGAGCCAAATGGACGATATGGTCGATCGTTGTGTAGCAAGAAAACTATCATCCGAAGAAGTAAAAAGCTGGACTGGCCCTCTCCCATTTGGCAGTTGTAAACCCGCATTCCAATTCTACGCCCGTAAGAATTGTGTTCAACTCCAGCCAAACGCACAAAGGTGTTTCGTTAAACGCTTGCCTCGCAAAAGGTCCAGACAGCTACATGAACAACCTGGTTGGTATTCTTCTACGTTGGACAGAGGAAAGAGTAGCGCTAATCGGAGATATTCGAAAGATGTTCAACTCGGTTTATTTGAAGGCCTTGGAACAGCATTGTCACCGTTTCCTATGGCGAGATTTAAAGCAGCATCGCCCACCAGACATTTACGTAATACAACGAGTCAACATGGGCGATACACCAGACCCCGCCATCAGCACAGAAGCTGTCTACAAGACCGCGGAGTTGTATCGAGAGGATAGTCCACAAGCCGCAAATCTCCTAAAACATTCCAGTTACGTGGATGATTTGATTGACTCACGTCCAAGTAAACCCGACGCGTTAAAGATTGCCAAGGAAGCCGAGGATATCCTTACCAAAGGAGGATTTGCTGTAAAGGGCTGGCAATTCAGTGGCGAAGCACAACCTCGCGTGAAGGAAGAGTTGTTAATGGACCTGCCAGAAAAGAGTATTGAAAGCTAAGACCAACGACTGGTAATGTTAAAAGGAACTGACGAAAACTTACGAGTGCTCGGTCTGGGATGGAATCCGAAGAAGGACACCATCACCTATGAGGTAACTTAATTTCAGTAGCAGAGACGCGGAGTTCGAACCGGTCCAAACCTGCTAGAAAGCGACCTACCAAGTGCATTACCGAATGTGTTAACCAGACGAATTGTTCTTGAGCAAGTAATGAAGATTTATGACCCGCTCGGACTGATTTCTCCATTTACATTCATGGCCAAGATATACTTACGCGAAACCTGGTCCCGCAAGCTCGGATGGGATGACCCACTTCCAGCAGAACTTTGCAACAAATGGTCCAATTTCTTCACTGCTCTTTTCAAACTTCAGCGTTTGTGTTTGGAGCGATGCTTACGACCTGGGAATAGTGATGGACGCCCTTGGTTAATAATCTTGAGCGATGGTAGTGATCTCGCGTATGGCTTCGCAGCTTACATTCGATTGAAAATGGATGATGGAAGCTACTGGTGTAGGTTGATCATGGCGAAGTGTCGTATTGCTCCAATCAATAAGTTATCTACCCCTCAGATGGAGTTAAACGCAGCTGTTCTGTCGAAAAGAGTAAGAAAGGTCATCGAGAAAGAAATGAGGTTCGACTTCGAGAGAGTTTTACAAATCGTGGACTCAGAAACAGTCTTGAGTATGATCCACAAGATTAGCACACGTTTCAAAGTTTACGAGGGGGTATGAATCGGAGAAATCCAAGCAGCAACTGGAGGAGATCTGACTTGCTGGGCTTTGATGTCTGGCCAACATAATACAGCTGACTGGTTGACACACGGCAGAGCACCAGAAGAGCTGAACAACGATTCTCATTGGTGGAATGGACCGCCGATTCTATACCGACCGATAGAAGAATGGGGATTAAAGTTTAACTCAAAGAAAGAACCACTCCCCGGTGAAAAGAAAGTCCATGTTATAGCAGCAGCGAGCGTAGAGGCATTGGTGATCGAGTATGAAAGATTCAGCAATATCAACAAAGCTATTTGGGTCGTCGCCTGATTGCTAAACATTGCGAAGAAGAAACGTTTTAAGGGCGGAAGGACTCTGTCCATCTCGGTTAAGCAATTACAAGAAGCCGAGAACTTTATTGTCAAAGAAGTTCAGAAATCATTTGAAAGTGAACTGACAAAAACTGATCGCAAAGGCGAAAAGGTGGTCGTTTCGCTTGTTTGAATCCAGTCCAAGATGAAAGTGGACTCTGGGTAGTGGGACAGCGCCTGAAGAACAAAAATCCCATGACAGTGGATTCTTCGCTGCAAAAGCTATTGCGCTACCGATATCATGTTACCAGACTCTTCATGCAACGAGCTCACACTTCTGGTTATAGAGGGCGTGATGCAACCTTAGCACGATTCCGTCAACTCTACTGGTAACCCAAGGAAGCAAACTCGCTCAATCAATCAAGAGTTAATGTCAGATGTGCAAGCTGCGAAAAGCAAAGTTCCTCGAGCAGCAAATGAGACAACTAGCGGAAGCAAGATTGAAACCAGCTCCAGCTTTCAACCACGTTATGACAGACCTTTTCGGACCCTACTCGATTCGTGGAGAAGTACAGAAAAGAACAAGTGGTAAAGCGTACGGAATAATCTTCACAGATCTAGTTATGAGAGCAGTCCACATTGAAGCTGTGTTCGGGTACGATACCGAATCATTCCTAATGGCCCTCAGCAGATTCGTCAGCGTTCGTGGTTGGCCCGAAATCATATATAGTGATCCCGGATCACAACTAATTGGTGCGGAAAGAGAACTCACGGAAACCTGGAAGAGCATTGACCGACAATCCTTACGGCACAGAGAGTGGATTGACCTGGATCTTCAGCCCCGCTGATAGTCCTTGGTACCAAGGAGTTGTGGAATCCCTGGTGAAGAGTGCCAAGAGAGCTTTTTATTTCGCAATCAATAACCAACGTCTTTCAGTCCAAGAGTTCATGACGGTGTGTAGCGAAGCCACGAACCACCTCAATGAAAGACCTATCGGAACCCTCCGGAGCGCTGATTCTGAATTAAATATCCTTACTCCCAACAGCTTGTTACTGGGCAGAGCAACGGCGAAGAATCCTGGTGGATGGCAGCCTAACAGTAATAATCCAGGAACGCGTTATCATGCTGTCCAGAACGTGAAAGACGAGTTCTGGAAGAAATGGACGGAGTTATACGCCCCAGCCTTGGTGATTCGTCGCAAGTAGAATACAGCCAACCGTAACCTGTGCCCAGCAGATGTTGTAATAATCGCCGACCGTAATACCTTGCGAGGAGATTACCGTTTAGGTATAGTAGGTTGGGCTTTTACGGAAAAGTTCGTCGAGTAAATGTCATGTACAAGAATTTTCAAATTGGAGAAAAGGTACAAAAATACAAAGGATATAACGAGGCTGTCATTGTGTCACGAAGTGCTCAGCGATTATCGTTATTAGTACCAGTGGATATGGATCAAGACCAGGAAACCAAGTCGGAAGCAAAAGAGAGTGTAAGAACGGACAGTGACATTATATAGTATTGATTGGACAATGCATTAGAGAAATTTACATTCAGATTTTAAGACGCGATCGCATCGACCCCAGTCCTTCCGGTGTATTGGGTTGTAGCAATAATCTATCTGCGATCGCCTTTTCGACGATGTTTTATTTACGTTAATTAGAGCCTGCGTTTCGCAGCGGTAAAATGTTAGAGCATGCGCATGAGAACAAATATGGCGTGCGAAGCAAAACAGTGTTTAACGTACTATTTTGTAATTTTCCATATTGTTTTATAATTAAAAGTGAGTTGAAACCTGTTTTTGGCCACATTTACTGGCAATCCCAGTACAAATATCATTGTTAAATTGTATATTTTCACATATATGATATAGTATGAAAAGCTTGTTTACAAATTATGTCAATGCTTGGAGCCCTAAATGCACTCAACCTTTCCTATTTTATGTGCTGCAGTGTGACATTAGCTTTTTAAAATATAAAGTATTTATTAAAGCTTATACTGAAGTACTGAATTATGAATTGAGTTATTAAATTCCTCTATTTAATCCAGCTCTATCAGTCTACTAGTATCTCAGTCATATAAACAAGATGAAAATAAAATAAGGAATTAATATCACTATTTTGCATTTGTAATTATAATAATTTAAAAATATCCTTTTAGTATAGAATTAAAATCCAGGTGCAGGTTAACTCTATATTTTAAGTAATATTATATTTTTCTATTTATTCAGTGCACCTATGAAATGGACCGAGCTGCATGATGAGCTATTTGTACGAGATATTTTGCTAATGCGGCCATGAACCAGTAGAAAAGCATCTCCTGAAAGAGGCAAGGCATGGTTGAGGATAGCTACTTCGTTAAATTCTTTGCAATCTCCAAATTTTTGTGTAACCTAGAAGTCTGTGCGTGACCGATATGCCTTGCTTGAAAAGAAATACAAGAAGAAAGTCTGGGAAGAAACTCTTGCAAGTGGAATATCCTGCGAGGAGAATGAAGTAGATCTTGGCATGGGCGAAATTGTCTCGTTGTTTTATGAAGCTGACATAGAGCATGAAAGAGTTGCAGCAGAGAAGAAGAAAAAACTTGAGGAGGAAGCCAATCAAGCAGCTGAAATGAGACAGCAGTCCCTTGAATCATTTGGTGAAACTCGCAAGAGATCCGAGTCAGCTGATTCTGAGGGCACAAGTACCAAAAGAAAGAGAAGTAGTGGTTCAGATATGGTTTCGTATCTGAGTGATAAAAGTGAGCGAGAGACTGAGTTAAAGAAGGAGGAACTGGAAATAATGCAACTCCAAACAGTCAAAGATCATGAACTAAGAGAGAATGACATGAAACTTAGAAAGGAAGCAATGGAAGCAGCCCAAAATCAAAATAATTCCATGATAAATCAACTTGTTGAATTGCAAAGGATTCAACAACAGCAGTTTATGCAGTTGATGAGGCAGCAGCAGGAGCAAAGTTCATCTATGATGGTCCTATTGAATAAGATAACTTCTCAAAAATGAACATTGACATAGCCTAGTACCAGGCAACAGTTAGTTAACAAATTCTTTTCATGTTGTGTTAAGAACAAATAACAGCAAGGGTGTCGGGAAAGGGAGGGTGCCCCCCCCCACTTTTTTAGTTGGGGAGGCCTAAATGTCTTTGCCCCCCCCCCCCCACACACACACACTTTTTAACAGTGATCAATAATAAACCACAAAGTTAATTGATATTATTTTAGTTACGCATATACAAAACAATTTGAGATATTTTATGACATTTTGTTACCTTTACCTACCTTTTGTTTACCTAACTCTGTAAATCTCCTTCTAAAGTGTAGGAAATGGCATTTTAGAGTCTCTAGTTTCAAAATGTTTCCTGGGGAATGCCTAGCCGACGCCCCTGAATAACAGTAGACTTGTTTTCATATGTTCAAGTTAACTAAAGAAAGTAATTTTTACTTCAACTATTCATATTTTACAACAATATTTATATTGTCAATGTACTTTTTTAAAAAGAACTTATTATTAACATTGCTTTGTTTTATATATTTACACGAAATACTCTTGTATAGTGGGTGGGTCAATGCCAAAATATTTTGCAGTTGATGTGCCATATAGGCATGACCGTGCATTTTCCAAAAGAGCACAAACAATATACATCTTACCCACTGCACTTAATTACTTTCAAATTTTTTTTAAAGTCCAGAAATTTGAAGTAATTGACTATATCGCCAAACAACCATTCAACAGCAATTCTCACTTGACTCATAGATTTGTTCCACTGTTGTTGTTGTTCTGTAATCACAGCCCCTTTGTAAGGGCCCTGTAATTGTGGTCTGAGAGGGTAGGCCGGATCTCCATATATGCACAAGACATCTCCTTGGGTGTTGAATGAACACTGCTGTAACTCGTTGAGGATACTAGATTGGACAAGCATTGCACTATCATCAGAGGAGGTTGGACAGCTAATTAGCGAGTTGTCACGTGAGCTCTCGGCCAATGAGATCGCTCTATTTTCCATCGTGTTATCTGCAGAATTTGGACAGAAAAATTTGCATTCGACGGAAAATATATCGGAAAAAAATATTAATATTAAAATTTTCTTGCAAAATCTCAAGTGTTGTAGTACTCCTACTAAAGATCTGGTGATATCTGCAAAAATATCTGAGGTAAATTTTATTTTCAATGTTATTTTGATGTTTGAAGTTAGTCGACTCCCCGCGACGTGTTGACTCAAGTCTAAATATGTTTACAATGTTTAAAATGAAATATCTAGAATTCCCCTGGTTCGATTTTCTTCATTTTTGGTAGTCGTCAAGACAAAAGTACAAGCTTTAAATCTCCTGGAATGATCCCGGTAATCCCCCGGCAGATTTCGATATATTGACCGTTGAAGTGACTACTGTCAACTCGATGTTCGCTAAAATGGCGTCTAATACCGTAAAGAATTTGTGCCATCAAAGATGATATTTTCAATGAATTTTTGTTAAAGTGCTAAAATATTATTTAGAAGACTTAGGAGTTGTTTTAATATTTTTGTAGAATTTATATCTGTGCGATTTTCAAAGTTTTGTTGTCTTTGCCCGACGCGACTGGATCGTGTACGTATTTCAAGACGAGCTGATCGCCTGATCCTGGCGTTTTTGTGGCAAATCGAGCTGCGGAATCCTCAGCATGGACAAATCAGTGTCATAACAGCCCATTTCAAACCAGCAGAGAGCTCCACTTGTTTTAAAACAATAAAACAAGTTTAATTTTATTGTATTATCATATGTATCATATATAAACAAATTAAGGGAGTGGTCATTATTTATGGGGTGGGGTGTTGGTAAATGGGGAAAATAAAGATTAAAAACTTTTTTGACCCCCCTCCAGACTGAAGGCAAACTTTTTGTGCCTCCTCATAAAAGTATAAACTTTTCTGACCCCCTCCCCCCGCCCCAGTATGGATTGAAAAATTAACAGCAATGAAACAGGTGTATGTTGCAGGTAAAGTTAGATATTAGGACAATCTGTTTAATCTAGCTCATGATGTTTTACCCTGGTGAATATGATTCAACCATATATGATTAAAAAATATATATTATATGTTACTACTTTGCAATGCAACATTTGTCCTACCATAACCCTAACCCATGGTCCGTCTTCATACAGCGAAATGATTTGAACACAGGGCTTTTTTTAAGAACTTGTCTGGGGGTGGGCATCTACAAAAAGGGGCCATACTATACTGAGTGTGGAGAGATGACAGATGGTTGTTGGTGACAAAAAGTTTGGTGTGGTATTGTATGTATTAGTAGGGGGTCTGGGGAAAATTTTTTCAGTGTATTTTTCCCTAGGACTGAAATGTGAGCATTTTCTGAAACAGATTATTGGATATACAGTGTTACATTGTGCTTTGATAGACCGAATCTGATCAGTTAAATGCACTTGCATGGTATGTTTATGTAAATACCACAACTGGGACACTCAGGGGGTAGGAAGCTTGTTAAACTTAGTGGGCCCTTGAGTCTCTAGATCATTGGAAATGGCATTTTCAGAGTCTTCTTTTTTGCTATTTGTGATTATAGAAATCAGAACTCTAGGCATGGTATTTAAGATCAAAAACGTTTTTGACCCCCCCTTTCTCTGCGTTAAAACTTTTTTGACCCCCCTATTTATAAGGGTAAAACTTTGTTTGCCACCCCCCCCAT